CTTGGCCACGTGTGCCTTTCCATAGGGCTGCTCACATAGATCATCTAATTTTTCCTCATGCAGGTAATCAGAGAAAAGACAAACAGGACCAGGTTGGAAGCCACAGGTTTTTTTTTTTTTTTGGTTTTTTTTTTTTTTTTTTTTAATGAACCAATATTAGAAAAGTACAGTCACTTCTGCCATGTTCCATTGACTAATAATGGGGTGAAGATATGAATGCTGGGAAAAGGGATGGATCCCTGAGGGTATGTTTTAGCCTACCATTGCTTTTTAATGACTTTCCTAGGCAATGCCACATTCTGTGGGGTCTGTTGTTTGTTTTGTTGTTTTGTTTTGTTTGTGGAGGGGGAGGGTTATCAGGGTGGAGAGTTTCTGTTTGTTTTTACTTTAGATTTAGAAGGCATTAATGATTATAATGGTTTACAATCAACCAACAAATAAAAGGCAGCTGAGCAGCAAAACAAGAAGCCGAGTGAGGTCTGCAGGCCACTCACAAAGCATCTGCTTTTACATGCTTCAGAAGTCCACAGCTGACTTAGCTGAAGATCTTGACTGTTGCATATTCAAGCTCAGAACTTTCACAGAGTGCAAAAGATGGAAGCGGTCTCTCTGTGTTAACAAGTAAGAATGGTCGGCAACATAAGGTACAGTTTACAGATCTGTATTTATGATGAGGTCTGGAGGGAAAGTAGCAAGAATAAACCATACAGGGAAATCTAATTCTAGTAGGAAGCTGCTTTGAAATAACGTCATACTTCACTTAATCCCCATCTGATGTCCTTGATAACCAGGTTGGAAAACAATAACCCCCCCGCCTCCGGTTACTTGCCATATTTTATTTTCTTCCAATAGTTCCCACTGCTTGGTGGTGATTCTGAAAGTGCCTGTTCTTACAGGAGCCCAGACTATGATGTTGACACCCCAAACAGACTGCCATTGAGTAACTCACTTTCCCAAGAACAAATTCTTATGGGTGAAAGGTTCTTACAGCTCTCCAAAGCAAAACAGGCGGCAGTTACTGGCTTCGATTTGCAGTGTCAAAAGAGAGCAGCTAACATTATAGACATTCTAAAGTAGTTGTCTCTCAGAAATATAAAAAATAGGAAGACAAGTTTTTTTTTTTTTTTGATGGCTCAGAACTGATTTTATTTTATGTACTTATTAACAAGTACACTTTCTCCCCATTGGAAGAGAAAAAAAAAAACTATGCCAAAACAATAAAATAAGTAAAGACAGGTATCTGATTTCACTTCCTGATATTAGCTGAGTCTCCTACCTTCTTTTTCCATGCTTCCCTGGTAAAGGCTCTGTCTGTTGTCTGCCTGCCTGCCTGTACTTTGATCTGTGAGGCAGTACCATAAGGCTGTAAATGTTCATGCTGCTTTTGATCTAGTACTTAGCGGCTCTTACTTAAATAGATAGCGTCTTTTAAGTATGTAGTGTTTACTCCATCTCTCCCTCTCCCTCTCTCTGAATGTTGGCTTAAATTTCTATTATTTAGACAGAAAGATGTTTCTTGAGAGTGCTCTGATCTGAATTTTATTTCCTAAATTCTAAAATCCCAAAGCTCTGTTGTAGATTTTGTAAAGCCAAATTGCTATTAAAATGAACTGCTGTTACAGTTGCGTAATATTGGCAAAACCTTTGCTTTTTAATGGGGAGCTGACTTTTCAAAGAATAGTAAACATATCCTATACGTTGGCAAAAATGCTCATACCAGAGTCTAAACATAATAGCCACTTACCCTTATGAATTTTAGCCCAGGCTTAAAACATTTTAATATTGCTGGATTATAATACCATATAAAGTATATAGGAATGGTACTTTTTAAAAATAAGTATATATATTATTTATTCTTGAAAGAATTTCTTGTGCATTTTATCAGGTGTTTTATTGATTTGTTACTGAGTGTCCTATACTTCAGCCTGTTATTCATGCAGTAAATCATAATAAGGCAGGGATGCAAAGAAAATTACATCACAACTACATAATAGGGTAGGGACACAAAGAAAACTATGTAACAATCCAGGCATTCAGGTAGGAGACAGCAGGCAAAGGCCAGCAAACAACTATGGTCCAGTATAGTCAGTGCCTTCAGCCTGGCCTGAGAGTGATAGGCAGAGCTTCCTGAAAGAGGCAGCCTTTAGGCATCACTGAAGGAAAATTGATTCAGACCTTATGGTCCTGTACATCCCTAGCCAAATCTACAGCACAAAATAAAGCTACCTATTCAGAAACTGTCTGATTTAATACAAGCAGCCTAGATCTTGGAAGATGTGTAAAGTTTGAAAGGCTTTCTGCCTAAAGCTATAGCAAAAACCTTCTTGCTTGTCACTGAACACTAAAGAGACCACACCCCCACCCCTCCACGCAGTTTTGTTTTGTTTTGTTTTGTTTTTTTGCATACATTTTAGAGCTTTAGCTCTATTCATTTAAAGGTGTGTTGGTCATTTCCCTTCCCTATACCAAATATCTGAGAGAATCTACTTTAAGAGAGTAAAAGTTCATTTGCTTATGGTCTCAAAGGTCTATACAGTCTCAGAAAGTCCATGGTCAATTGGCTCTTCTGCGTTGGGGCCTGTAGTGAATCAGAACATCATAGCAGAGAGCATACATGTTTGGCAATCAGAAGGCAAAAAGAGAAAGAAGTGCTGGGGTCCCAATATTTTCTTCTGGGGCATGACTTAACTTTCTCTTCCACAAGGCTCCATTTCCTAAAGTTTCCACCATCTTACAACATCACCATAAGCTGGAAGCTTTAAACTTTCTCCCTCTTTCCCTCCCTCCCTCCATCCTTCTCTTCTTTTTGAGAGACCAAAAGATTAAAAATCAGCAGCTATTATTTGTATTTAAGGCCTGAACTAGGTGGCTGGAGAATTCCAGTAATGCCCTGACAGGAAGAATCCACCTTTACTGCATTCCTTCCCCACTCACTAGAGATACAGTTGCTAGGAAACTGTCCCATTTCCCTAGGGAGGGACACCAGATCATTAATGGTTTGGGGACCTTCTTATAGCCAATCAATTCAAAATACAGCATTTTGACCAATAGATGCTTGCCAGGCAGGAATTGCCCCTGCCTTGGGCATGCTGGGAGAGACCAGAATCTTTAAATCACCCAACTAACCTGAGCTGGGGCTCTCAAGGCTCTCACCTCTTCGGCGGTGGGGGGCGGGGAGGGTGTGAGCCCAAGCTGCAGCTTGTAATTTGTAATAAAAAGATCCTCATGTGGTTTGCAATGGACTCGGCTCCTGGTGGTGGTCTTTTGGGGTATCATGATTCGGGCACAACACTCTCTCCCTCTCCCTCTCTCTCTCTCTCTCTCTCTCTCTCTCTCACACACACACACACACACACACACAATCTTGCCTCGTTGTTTTAAAAGCTCTTGTAATTGCTACCTTCTCCATGCCCTGACTGTACACAAGCATCTCAAAACACTGATCCTGGCTTCGATGCTGTAAAGACTGTTGAAGAAGTTTACAGAAATCCAAGCCCAAAAGTTTGGACAGGGGTCTAAATAATTGATCCGTTGTTACCTACAAGATTGTTACACTATAACATCCCTGCTATTTGGAAGGTTTGGAGAAGACGAGTCTGGTCTTAAGCATTCAGATTGGGTTTGTGGAAGGGGAAGGAGAGACAGAGCTCTAAATGATACAAAGGTATAATTGCCTGGGGACAGGGCAGAAACGTCATAGAGGGTAAAGAGTGGCGAAAGCACACGGAGGCATTTGGGGGTTTTGTGTTGGGGCAATAGAAAATTTGAAACTGTAAAACTGAAAAATGAGGTGTGACCGTTGGTACTTTCCCTCTCCTTACACACCCAGGCGTTGTTATGTTTCTGAAAGCCTCACATATTAGGTAGTAGAAGCTGTGCATGAGGGAAATGGCCACCAAAGCTCAGGTGGACTAGATCTTACAAGCCCAGGCTGCCTGGGCTTTGTCCTGGGTCTGAGCTTTTCCTCATGAGACTAGTTTCCCACTAGAAACCTTGGTGTCTATAGCTCAGTGCTCACAGGAGCCTCTTGGAGAATGGTCATCATACCTTGAAATGCTCTAAAGGTATGATCACACTCTAGTTCTCATAGGGCTTCTGCCTCTCTCTCTGAACACCAAAACTACACACCAAAAGAGAACCTGAAGAATGGGAACTGTTAAGTATTAGAAAAAGAGACATAGAGGAAAGAATGGAAGAAAGACATACAGGCAAGCTCATTTGAACAACAAGGGAAGCAGGCTAGGAGGACGGAGACTAATACTACATTGAAAGCACTGGAAAAATATCTTACAGTATTGGGATTCAAACCCAGAACCTTGTGCATACTCAGCAAGTACTCTACAACTAAGCTAAAGCCCCACACTCCCTCACTAGCCTAGGTTAGCATTAAAATCATTACCTTCCTGCTTCAGCCTTTAAGCTACTAAGATTTCAGGGGGTTGTCATTGTGCCAAACTTGGAAAAAAAAAAAAAAACTGAATGAGTTACTGAGCACAGATTCTCTGTGACCCCTAACTCTGGGAAAGCCAAATGTTTTTTATTCCCACCCAAACTATACGAGGAAAATGTAAAGGGGAATCCTCAAGAAAATCAGGGACTGTTTCTAGAAGAAAGGTGGGGAACTAGTGCTGGAAAAGTTAAAAGCAGTCGTTACAGACAGCAGTACCCTTGGACTAACTTACACATTCTGACCAATGCCATGATGTAAAATGTATGTGACATGTATGGAGCATGCCAATGTGTCCTGTACCATGATCATGCTTGGTGCCTTCTCCATCTCAAGTAATCAGCTTCAGCTTCAACCCTACTATTATTTTACGTTGAGGCACAGGGAAAATAATCAGTTCAGTGTCTTACAGCGAAGAGCTGAATACCACCAGTCTGAATCCAGAGCCCGTGTAAATGCATAAGAAGAAATGGACCGCAGTCCGCTGCTGCAGCGTTGGAATGGTAAGATGCCGGCTTCTGTAATAACTGCCTCTTTCTCCTTCCTTCCCAAGTGCTGCTTAAGCAGAGCTGAGGCCAGGCGGGATGCCGCTAAAGTGGCACTCATCAACTCTCTCTTCAACGAGCTGCCTTCCCGAAGGATCACCAAGGAGTTCATCATGAAGAGTGTTCAGGAAGCAGTAGCCTCCACCAGTGTGAGTACTAAAGGGGGACAAGAGGTGGCCTCTGGGAGAACATGAGGACATTCGAACCTTGGGCAATACTGAAGTAAGCAAATCATGTGCAAGTTAAAATTTTGCCCATTGACTCATTAATGAGCAGAAAAATAGATCCTTAGGTTGGAAGTCAGGAAGGTGGAGCTGGCTCCCCATTGGGCATCTTGCCAATACTCTTGACATCCCAGTCAAGTTTCAGACTGAGGAAGCTCACGTGATCATGTGATTCCAGTGTGTGCTTTTTGAGGTGTATAGATTTTTCTTATGGTCCAAGAATATAAGCAATTGAAGAATGATTTACAATCTACTGATAAGCTAGTTCTAATTTCCCCCAAACTTAACTAATTATGCTAATTATTTGAAGTTCTTACTGTAAATATTAATTCTCCATCCACGTGTAGCCTTCCAGTTCATAATGTTGTGGACTGCTTAGGCAGCTCTATATGTTAGAACAATTGTGGTTCCTAGCCATTTACATATTCCAGTAAGCTCTGAAACTTTCTGTGATTGATACAATTAAATGCCTTGAGAGAAAAATGAAAACAGCAAAACGTTGTCTTAGAAATTTAAAGAGGGAAAAATTTCAGCAACCCAGGGCTGGATAGTCACTTGTCCAATAAGTTGCTGAGAGTTCCTGCTCAGTGCCATCAAGTGTGAGCCACAGAGGAAACCTGGGCCCGCCTACAGCAGATGCTTTTCTGTGTGTGCTCAAGGGCAGGAGTTTGAATCAGAGAAGAGCAAACTTTGTCACTTTTCTTCTGTTCCTCTCCCCCTCTGCCTTCCTCTACCGCTTTCTCTCTCTCTCTCTTTCTCTCTCTCTCTCTGAGACAGGGTCTTGCTAAGTAGTCTGGCTGTCCTGGAGCTCACTATAGACTAGGTTGGCCTTGAACGCACAGAAATCCACCTGCTTCTGCCTCCTGCGTGCTGGGATTATTGGCTATTGTGCGCCCCCCTCTTTTTGCCCCCTGAGCTGAACGGACAGGCTTTGTCTTTACAGAGCAGCTGCTGCTGAAGAAGATGATCAGACTGTTGCGGACCCTTCCCCTTTATAAATGCTCTTATCACTTAGAGAAGAGATGGGCAGCAGGACAGTAGGGCTTGTAGCCTGGCTAGGAGAAAGTGGGGAGTTCTGTACTCTATCTGGTTTGAAGATAAAAGGAAGCCTTTATTTTTTCTGGCCCTGTAAATTTCAAGTGCCTTTGAGGAAGAGAAGTTAGGAAAATAATGCCTGATTTATATACATGTGGAATTTACTTAGGAGCAGGAAAGGGCTCTCAATGTAAATGTAATTTATCATTTTTCATGGAAATTTCTAAAGAGAGAGAATATATATGGCTTGCAGGCTTCTGGATGGATTTCCCCTAGGATATGTAAAAGGCCAACATAAATATTTCAGGATCCGTGTGTTAGTGTTATGGCATTCAAAGCTATACATTTGCTGCTGTCTGATGCTGACAGCTGTTTGTTCAGTCTCACAACGTGGCTATTGCCTACCATCCTGGGACTCCGAGGCCGAGGGATACTGAAGGAGGCCTGAAGGCCACTCCAGAGCTTGTGTGTGCTGCCTAGCACTGTTTCCTACAACCAAGCTGAAAGGGGATTTCATTTCTACCCGTCACCTACGCTGCTTCTTAAAGATTAAGTGGTCTGGGAGTAAAGTATATAAACCAACACCCATATTGCCAACAGCAGCTTATTATGAACGCTTGCTTCCCTTTAAGAGCCATGGCGGGAAGAAAGGCCCGGGTCGCACAACTGCATAGTTGTTTCAATTTCTATTATACAGTCTTGCCTGGTTATCACTGAAATCAGGGTGAGGTCAATGTTGCAAAATTTCAGTTGTGGAGAGCAGACACACAAGTATTAATAGACCACTTTCAAGAAAGGCTTTAAAAATATAGGAATTCCTGCTTTGGGTTTATCATTCTACCAGCAGTTACACAATGCGCTACCATCTTAACGTGGCAAAAGCCACACTCAAGCTGATTATGAGACATTCTTTACTTGAGTCATGGTGAGATTAAGTATCTTACCTAAGCGCAACTGTATATCAGCACCGTTAACATCAACCGGGTCAGGTCTGAGTGATTCAAAGAAGGGAAGGGATTATTGGTGATGGTGTCTTTGCTTGCCTTCCTTCCCAAGGGCACTCTAGATGACGCGGATGACCCCAGCACAAGCGTGGGAGCCTATCACTACATGCTGGAATCAAACCTGGGCAAGACGATGCTGGAATTCCAGGTGCCTCATCCCGGGCTGCTCGTTTGTTTGATGATCCAATGCAGAAGCTTGGGAGATGCAGTTCTTTTCACTTTGTTTGTTTATTTATTTATTTATTTATTTACTTTCAATAATGTGTGTGTGTCTGTGTGTGTGTGTGTGTGTGTGTGTGTGTCTGTGTGTGTGTGTGTACACGTAAGCTCGGTGCCTGTGGAGGGCAGAGCATCAAATCTCCCTGGAGCTGGAATTTTAGGACACACACCCAGCGACTGAGCCATTTCTCCAGCCCCAAAACATGCAAATCTTATCCTTAGCACTAATATCTTCTGTTTCAACAATCTGCTTTAATTTTTTTTTTTTTTTTTTTTTTTTTTTACCCTTTTAGAATCCAGCTTGGTGAGTGCATCTTATCCACATTCACTAACCCAAATCAAATATCAGTCATGAAGTTCTCTGCCTAAAAACTTCAGAGCCTCTCTCTTACAACAGAAAAAGAGAAATGTAAAGAATCTATATATTTTTTTCAAAACAAAACTAACCCAAACCATAGAAGACAAAATGGGGGAAAAGAGAATGGCACAGGAGAAAAGATACAGCTGTTTAAAACCATAGACCTACATACGCCATCTGTTACTTTACATCTCTTAGAAACAGGTGAATAACGCCTGTTTTACAACCCAGTAGCACATTGCCAGCTCTTCAGGACTAAGACCTCCTTTAAACAAAAGAAAACAATTAAAAATATTGCTGTGATGATCTCTTTCTAATTTCCAGAAGTCACAGAGAAGGATTTCCATAGGAGTATTTTCAAAAGTATTACTTGAGTTCTGACATTGAGCAAGATGTGCCGCGTCCTCCTATCAGGGAAACCAACATTAGCAACATGTCACCCGCATCTGTCAAGCAGCAACAGCTGAGAAACTCTGTCGCTTAGCACGCACAATCCTCAGTTTATGATTTCCCACTTCTATGTTGGCATGAAGACAACACCGCTCCTTGTCTCTTCAGTGTAGTGCTCAATAAATCACGGACGATATTTAACACTTTATTATAAACTTTGCCTAACTGCAAGCCAATGCATGTGTTTTGAGCATGTTGAGGTACACTCTTCTGGGCTATGAGGTTCACCAGGTTAGATGATATACATTTTTGGGCTTACCAATTTTTTCTAACTAAAGTTACCTTATTGTACCTATATTTATAAAATGAAAAATTACATCAATAACATTATTAGTATGTAATTCTTATTTGATATTTTGGGGGGCATAATAATGAGCATCTGACAATTATTATTATTACTACCCTTATAACAGCCAGTAAAGTAGTTGTTTTTCCCCACTTGTTATTATCCAAGGAAGATTATCTTCACTTAACAAATGGCTGAGCTCCAGGCTTCAGACTCATGCAAGGGAATCTCTTTCCTTTTCTCACACATCTGATTTTTATATACTGGTCTAGGCAGATGAAAGTTCAGTAGTGATTTGGCAGGAAATATATGCCTCTCTAAACAGCTAAGCTTGAATGAATGCATATATCCAACAACAGAGACTATTAGCCAAAATTAATACGTAATAGAGCCTTACCCCCAGTACTTCTATTTTCTTAGGTTTGATTTCAAGAAGTAATTAGACCTGCAAACTTTTATGGGAAAGGTGTTTATCATGATAAAATTTAGTCATTGTGTTGCAACGGGGGCCCAAAGCCACCCACTTTTCTCATGAGTGGGTGAGGACATGTGGGATGGCCTGGTTCGTTTTAGTCTTACTCTGTTCCTTATCTCGAAATCTGTTTCTTCGCTTGTGTATAAATCTGAGGAAATAGCGGTACTACCTTAAAGTGCTGTGCCGGGATGAAGGTGAAATAGGACATAATGAGAAGAGTCTAGAACAGCCTGCATATGGTAAACACTTCATGAAAGTTAAGGATGACTCTGAAAGATTGTGTTAGGTGAACCGCCAGAGGCTATTTAATGGATGGATCCCCCCCCCCGATATCTTTACACATCAAATGCTTCATGTCTCCTTCCTTGCAATAAAAGGGGAGACTGTAAAGGGTCTAAAATGCTCCCCTACAACCTAATCCCAGACATAGAAAATAACAGGAAAAAGAATGGCAGAAGAGAAAAAGCATGGATTTGAAACCATACAGATCTATATGTGGGTGCGTTTGCATCTGAGCTCGTCCATTCTGAAACTCGGTTTTCTTGTCTGCGAAGGAAAAAGAATAGTGCCACTTTATAGAGCCAAAAGACCTCGACATTTATAGAGCAACCAGAACAGCTTTTCTCATAACCGGGGAAGTCATTTAGCTTGCTCCTTCAAGGAACTTTTCTTAAGTTGTAAAATAAATACTGCCACTTACAAAGTTGTATGTGATTTAGCAGCAATTGAAAAAAAATAATGGTTTTTGAGCACGGCTGGCTTAGTCTGCCAAAGCTGGTGAGGCAAAATTATTTTTTCCTTAAAACTCCTTTCAAGCACTATGCAAGGCACACTCAGTACACTCTCAGTGACACTTTAACCCCTGTCTTGCTGGTCTGCTTTCTATGCAATCTGTAAGAAGGCATTTAAGGATAAATAATTACTTAAATCACACTCTGGAAATGCTTCATAAAGAAAGCTAGGGCAAGGACAAAGGGAAAGATAGAAGACAGGGAAAACCCAAATCCTCAGGTCAGGAGGGAGGACCCAGGGAGCCATGCTTTTCTTCCACCCACTTGCTGTGGCCTAACAAGTTCCATGGGGTCTGGGCAGATGTGTCAGCTTGTGTCCACATATAAAGGGAAGTGAATACAGACTTGGGCTATTTCTGCAGAGGCGCAAATCACTGCCTCCTCCTGGAGCAGGGGTTGTTACAGAGGAACGGATGATTGTAGCATAGAAAAACAAAGCTGGTGTCTTCTGACTGCCCTGGGATTTTCAATGGGTTGGTCCTTCTGCGCTGAGGAATCCAATAGGCTTCTGCTTACCTTCTCTTCTTGGGAGGGATGGGGCTGCCCTTAAGGAGGTAGGCTGGCCTGAGAGAAAACTGCCTGCTATGTTAGGGGGAGGGACAGGAGCAGCAACCAGCAGGCGCTGGGTCTTGTCAAGGTCAGATTCTAGGCAGAAGTTGACTGAAGCTGGTTAATATATTTATTCTGAAGACTAATGCAATCCAAGGAAGAGTTGTTTATTTACATCTGTGCTAAATTCTCCAGGTCGCCTTTTAAAGCCTCGTCCCATAAACAAATTTCCTCTTAAACTCATTCTCTTGGGTGGGGAGACGGTGCCCACCTGTTTTCCAAGTTCTCCATTTACAGTGTTTGTTTTTCTTATTTCTGATGAATCACAGAACCAAGCCAGTTTCCCAAACTTCCAGAAGAAGCAAAGAGCCTGTTCTCCCACTCCAAGTGGCTGAAAGGCCATTGTCTCTAATAGGGGAAACCAGGCAGGCAGTTTCCAGCACAGGGCCCAGTTGATGTAGGATTAAAGGGAATGAATGACAAAGTAAAACAGGGAGCTGTGAGCTGTGGATGGAGCGTAGCAACTGCCATGATTTCCCTGTAGAGCAAACAAAACACAGGCTTTACTCACCATTCAGTTTACAATTGACTTCGCTGATCAAAACCAGTTATATAATTTCTGGGGCCCAGTGCAAAATAAAAATGCAAGGACCTTTGCTCAGAAATGATCAAACTGAGTATTGAATGAAGGGCAGCGCCTCTGGGGCTACAGAAGCCAGGCTTGTTGCTGACACAGATCCAGAAAAGAGAGGCAAGTGATACATCTGTCTTGGCACAAACATTACACTATAATATATATTAAGGTCAAAATGAAAGCAAAAAGGCATCCTAATAAACAAAATACCAAATAACCCCAACAACAGCAAAAAACATTTTTCTTTTTCTTTTCTTTTCTTTCTTTCTTCTTTTTTTTTTTTTTTTTTTTGAGACCAGGTGTTAGTAGGTAATCCAGGCTTGCCTTGAACCCACAGAGATCTGCCTCTGCTGCCAGTATTGGAGTTGAATGTGTGCTACAATGCCTGGCACAAAGCACCAATTTTAAAAAGACCCAGAACGTTCATGAATCCCCCACCAACCCAGTTTAAATCTTGCCATACATAACCTCACCCTAATGAGCTAGCTTCTTACTTTCCTTTTAATCCAGCCAGTTTGCCTAGCCTAATCAGCCTAATCAGACTTCACAATATAAGAGCAGAACAGGCTCTTACAGAGTAGACTGACTCAAAGTTCCTATCCAGGTCAGGGTTTGATCAGAGACAAAGCCAGGGTGAAAACCAGGCACTGGGAATCCCAGAAACTAGAAAACATTCTTTACAGAACTCTTCTGCAGTGTGGCATGGATTTCCCGTTGTCAAACTCAGCATGGATGCAATGCACTAAGCACCAATTTGGAAACTCAGGAAGTTGTAAAGATGCCTTTAATCCCAGAACTCCAGAGGAAGAGGTAGGCAATCCTGGCCTACATAAGTGAGTTTCAGGACAGCGAGAGTTACCTAGTGATGTCTTGTCTTGGGGGAAAAAAAAACAACAAAACAGCAAACAAAACAACAGAAGAGAATTTGGTCTTATGAGAGGAAATAAAGAAGTATTTATAGGGACAGGAAGTATGTGTAGATAATTAGGTCACCCTTATACACATGTTTCTACACAGCAGGACAAAAGCTAGACCAGGACAGAATGCATGATGAGAAGGAGGTCACTTTCCCTTTCAGTAAGAGCTGAAGTAATGATGTGCACAACAGTTATTATATGAAAGAGGTTTATAGGATAGAGATGGAGAGAGAGAAAGACATGATAGGGGGAGGGAAGGGGATGCTCTGACCAAGAAAGGGGAGAGAGTAGGAGAGAGCAAGTTCAAGAGAGAGAGCTAAGAGGCGGGTCCATGTATAGCTTGCATAGCTGAACCACGCCTGCCAGGTGAGTCTACCTGGCAGGTGACACATCATAGGTTAATAGGCAACCCAGAAGCAGGGTGCCTAAACACTAATACACTAATACTAATAATAATATCATTAATAGTGGCAGGGGTTGTCTCTCTCCCATTGGGTGGATCCCAAGTTGGGCCAGTCATTGGTTTGCCATTACCTCAATCTCTGCTCCATCTTTACACCTACACTTCTTATAGGCAAGACAAATTTTGGGTCAAAAGTTTTATGGGTGGGTTGTTGTCCCTCTCCCTCCACTGGAAGTCCCACCTGGCTACAGGAGGTGGCAACTCCAGGCTCCTTAACCTATCCCGCTGCTAGGAGTCTCAACTAGGGTCAACCCCATAGACTCCCTGGAGCTTCCCCTATCCCAGAGGTTGCTCCTACTACCACTGCTACCACCGATTTTCATTCCCAGTCCTCCCCACCCTTTACCTCTCCCACCTATGACTATCCCCACACCTGATTTCTAACCCTGTTACCCTCCCTTTTTCCACCCAATTCTCTCCCTCCCTCTATTTCAGATGTCTATTTTATTTCCTCTTCTGGGGGAGATTCAATTGACTTCTTTGGGTCTGTAGATTGTAGCATGATTATCCTGTACTTTATGGCTAATATCTACTTATAAGTGAATGCCTACCATACCCATCTTTCTGGGTCTGGGTTACCTCACTCAGGGTGATCTTTCTATCCATTTGCCTGAAAACTGCATGATGTCTTTGTTTCTAATAGCTAACTAGTATTCTATTGTGTAAATGTACTACATTTTCTTTATCTGTTCTTCAGTTGAGGGACATCTAGGTTGTTTCCAGATTTTAGTTATTACAAATAAAATTGCTATGAACTTAGTTGTGGTTTGGTGGAGTGTCTTTGGGTATTTGCCCAGGAGTGGTATAGCTGTATCTTGAGGTAGTTCTATTCCCAGTTTTCTGAGAAATCTTCAGATTGATTACCACAGTAGTTGTACAAGTTTGTATTCCCACCAGCAATGGAGGAGGGTTCCCCTTGCTCCATATCCTCTCCAGCATGTACTGTCATTTGAGTTTTTGATCTTAGCCTTTCTGATGGGTATAAGATGGAATCTCAGAGTCATTTTGAGTTGAATTCCTGCTGCAACTTGAGATGTCAGAGTGGGTTGATACCCCTTGGGGGCTTTCCTTTCTCTGAGAAGGAGAGGGGGTGTGGGGGAGGGTCATGAAGGTGGGACTGTGAGGAGAGGAGGGAGGAGGCTGTAAATGATGAAAGAAAGAGGGAGAGAGAGAGAGAAAGAAAGAAAGAAAGAAAGAAAGAAAGAAAGAAAGAAAGAAAGAGAGAAAGAAAGAGAGAGAGAGAGAGAGAGAGAGAGAAAGAAAGAAAGAAAGAAAGAAAGAAAGAAAGAAAGAGAGAGAGAAAGAGAGAAAGAAAATAAAAGAACCAGAGCCACACTCAGGAGGAAGTACTTTTTAGACAAATCAGAGCAGTAGGGAGATGAATGACATTCCTCCCAGAGGCAAGAACAGCTCAAGCCTTTGAGAGATGAAGGTGGCCAAGGGGCATGGAAAGAAGTCTGGCTCTGTTCATAGCATAAACATGGATGCTAAAGTACTGGGGAATTCTCCAGGTAAAATGCCAACAGTGCAGCTACAAGAAGCAGATGTTGGTACAGTGATGAGAATGTGGTCTCAGAAGATCCTGAAGAAAGAAGAGTAAAACCAACAGCAAAAACTGTCAGAGATCCTCTCTCTGTGACAGTTTTAACAATAAGCTGTATTAACAATAAGTTGTTTCTCTGACAGGGTCACTTTAGGGCAATGTTAGGATGAGTACTAGAACCCGCAACACATGTCCAGCCTCTTTATTTTGGTGGCCAAATTTACATAGGGACTATGAGTATAGATCAGTGGTAGGGGATTGACAAGCATGTGCAAGGTCTTGAGTCTGATCTCCAGAACTGAAAAAAATTAAATATAAAACCAGCTGCAGATTTGGGGTAGGTGGGGGGGGGGTCAACTGAAGAAGCAGAGTAATATTTTTTTTTCTTCATTAAAAAAAATAAGTTTGGGGCTGTAGAGATAGCTCAGGCTAAAGTTCTTACATACAGACAAGACGACTTTAATTCTACTCCTAGTGTTGACATAAGAATCCAGGCATAGTGGCTCATAGTAGTCTCAGCATTACAAAGATGAAGACAGGGAGATACGTAGGGCTGGGCAGTCTAACCGAATCAGTGAGCTCCAACTTCAGTGAGACTTTTTCTCAAAAAATAAGATGGTGAGCAACCGAGGAGGATACTCACTGTCGACCTCTGGCCTCATTCATATTCATGTACACATCCACTTACATGTACACGTACACAACAAACAAATGAGTGCAAAATTCAAGTAGATTTTTATGTGAAATAAAAAAAAAACCCTTCAAATATTGGCCTTCTATTACAAGACAGAGCATAGAGAATTCACGCTCATTTTTGTGGCTACAAAGTGTTTCATGAATGGGTTTGAGGGAGCACTAGGGAAGGTAGCAAAAGTTTACTCTCCTAAGCAACTGAGGATACTCTGATAAATGGACTGATGGGCACAGTGGTAAAAGCCCTATTAGGCAAGATTTGGTAGTCTGTTGAAGTGATATGACTTTTTTATACTAATATGGTACTGTGCAGGAGTGAAGTCTGGGACCAGGGAGAAGGGGGCTGTAACAGGCATGTCTCTTGACATTTGACTTGGGACACTGGACGGTGGGGCCTTTGTTTGGAGTGGAAGAAGCAACTTGGTTTATATTTGTGTTGTATTTAATTGATGGAAACAAATGGTTCTGCTTTCACTTCAAGCTCAGTATCTCCTGGGGTACTCATTGTATGGTGGAGTAAAGACAATGATCTGGATCTCAGAGTGAAAAGCAGTAGCACTAACCTACAATAGCAGCTTTAAAGCTGAGGCTTGTGCTGCTGAAGCTTCTGGTAATTCTACAGTTCTAAAATGCACCAGATAATTTTAACATGCCTGCAACTGACCTTTGTGAAGAAGAAAAACATGTTTTTGAGCAAAGAGAAGTAAAGACAATCTGTAAAAGACTGTTATGCACAATCAATAGGACATCTGTCTAGATGCTAAGATTTCATAACTATTTCCAAAAGCAGAAAGTTTGTTAATTACATGAGGTTATTTTCCAATGACTGTATGGTTGTGGTTTACAATATTGATCCATAATCAATGTCTAATTTTAAAAAACAAAACACAAAAAAAAACCAAAAGCAAGAACAAAAATAAAATCCCTGAATAAGTGAAACAGATAATTTCAGTAGAAAACTGCCAGCTGTGACTACATTAGGAAATGTGCAGCCTGCTGGTCCTCTGCTCACCTTGACATCAGGCAGGGAAGTGTTGTGGCTAAAAACACTGAATGTAGAACCTTTCATTTGTTTTAAGGTGACTACTACCACATCGCCTATATTTTAAGACATTCTTGGTTCTGTTTATTGTTTTATAGAGACAGGGTTTCTCTTTGTATCCTTGGCTCTCCTGGACTTGCTTTTGTAGACCAGGCTGGCCTTGAACTCACAGAGATTCACCTGCCTCTGCCTCACTGAGTGCTGGGATTACCATGCCCGGCTTTTAAGGCATTCTTAAAGCAGAGGGGCTTACCTCTTCTCTTCTTATGCTGGCTAAAATTATTTCTCTCCTCTCCCTTCTCCCCTCCCCCCTTACTTTCTTTCTCCCTCCCTCGCTTCCTCCCTCACCTTCAACCCCCATTTTTTGATAAAAATAAATCAGTAAATAATGATATATTTCAGCTTGTTAACATGGGACTTTAACATGGCTGAGTCTATTTTGGTTTAGTCCATTTTAGGTCAAATACTGAAAGGAGCTTGGTCCAAAGCAAATAGACTCGTATAAGTTACTTTACTTAGCAATATAGGCATATTTCTTTTCAGTTTAAAAATTTTAAATTTTAGTTGTTTTCTTTAATGTCACTTAGTCACATGAAACCCAAAACCTTTTCTCCAGAACACTGGAAAGAATGCCTCCTACTTTTTTTCTTTCACGTCAGCCATGTTACCAGATCAATTTTGTTTATTGTTTTGGTTCTGGAGACCCATAGTTGAGTCTCATGCATACTAAATACATGCTCTGCTGCCAAGTGATGCCCCCAGACTCTCTAGTACCAAGTTCGTTTTACATCTTTTAAGAACTCTTCCAGGCATTTGCAAGCAAATGTGTGTATAGGGATCTTCTATTCTTTTAAAATAAAACACAAAGTACACATTGTTAAGTGCTGTTTTCTTATTTTAAAAATACACCATAGAGTTCTTTGAATTACAGCTTAGAAAGTCTTTACATCCATCATGCTTACAGTGTTCAGTAATATGGACATATCATACTTTGATTTTTCTCTAAAAATGAACATTAAAATGGTTTCAGACTCTATTAAAAGTGATATAATTTATGTATAGCTTTGTATGTTGGTTTTTCTATGTTCTGACATACTTAAGTAACTGGTGTATACAATTATTTTAATGTGTACATTTTTAGTGTTGAAAGATAATTGCCAATCATTTAGTAATTTTACATTGAAAATAGAACAAAACAAGGAAATGGAGGCTCTGCTTTAGGGGTCTTGGGGTTCTGTTCTTTGGAAAGTCCCAAAGTTTCTGACAGTATCATATATCATGCATGCACTTCTGCTTTAAGATCAATGACAGATGTTTGGGTTTTGTAGGAACTGATGACCATTTTCCAACTACTACACTGGAATGGAAGCCTGAAAGCCCTCCGTGAAACAAAGTGCTCTCGACAGGTGAGACTTTCCAGTTGAGACAGGTTAGTGTGTAGAGGACAACGTAGGAAGCTTATCAAACTTTGAAGAGGCTTCTTTTATTCAGATTCTTTTATGTATATTTTACACATATTGACCGTGAGAGACTAAAGAATTAAAAATTAGTTTTTGTGGGTATTGGTTTAAAATTTAAAGCACAACCCTGACTGAAGGCCAGCCAGGTGGAGACATGTCGGGCCACCTGCAGGGAGGAACCAGTTTAACTGCATTCTTTTCCTGCCCACTAGAGATACAGTTGCTAGGAAACCGGCCCAGATGGCCAGGCCAGAACTGTTTATGGACTTGGCGCCTAAAGTAAACCAATCATTTCAAAAGTCCATTTCCCTTACCCAATCATGTAACACCAATTCATGTAACTCCCTGCTTGCAGCTTTTCCCTTTAAAAACCTTTTTTACCCTAGACAGCTCAGCAGCATTCATCTCCTGCTTCTACAGGAAGTTTTCCAACCCAGGCTCAAGCTTATATCCAATAAACTCTCATGTGTTTTGCAGAGGAGTCAATTCCTGGTGGTCTTTGGGGGTATCATGAACTAGGCATACCAACTGAAACCTCTTTTATTTATTCATTACTTTGTTTTAAATGTATATTTACCTATTGAGTAAGAGCAGGGGCAAGTGAAGAAATATCTAGTTGGAAACTGCACACTTAGAATGTCGATTTTGCATAGGGTTGATCTGAACACCCATGATACTGAATACAGAATGAAGCAACCATTAAGACATTGTTGGATCTCTACACTCTTGCACTCTCCAGTACAGAAAGAAAAAGAGGATGAGCTGCTTACAAAGCCTCCTCACTAAACACAGGCAGAATTGTCACTGCAAAAGGTTATTTCTTAACTACCAAAAATTCCTCAGAAGCAGAGAAAGGATCATGAAGTTGGACATGCTCAAATTTAGTCATCTTATTTTTTGGCTTAGGAGGTTCCTCTTTGTTTTCCAGAGGCAAGCTCTCAATATTTCTTCATTACTTACAACAGGAACCCTTCTTTCTCTTAATACCAAATGTAAACTCTGTCCTGAGTGTTCAATGCTTTTCTCCTGTTGTCCTCTGAGATGTATCCTTTCTCTACTCATCATTAGCACTTGAAGGACAATAGTTTATTTTTGAGAATTTCCTAATTAGCATTTGTATGAAAAAGTAAGCCTCTGATAGTCTGATGCAAGATGAGGGTAGAGGCACTACAGTCCCAGTAGTTTTTAGTTGCTTAGAAAATCTGGCTCTTAAAATATCAAAAACGGAAAAGAAATGAGTAGCTGAGTATGGCTTTGGCTATTTTTTTTTTCTTTCCTTTGATTTTATGAAAGTCCTTTGAAATTTGTCGGATTGGTTATAAACACTTCTCCATGATTGTTTTTAATTTGTTAAGGTCATAAATAAATACCATATGTTCTTGAAAATAAAAATAAGCAATGCATCCATTTTCCATGATCAAACATATGTATGACAGCATGATGAATTGATATTTTTTCACTGAAGAATTGAAAGGAGTGGTTAATTTTTAATTGTTTGCAAAAGCAAGAAATTGTATATTATAAAGGTATCATTGTAATACCAATAATGATAATCCCCTATTTTTCAGGTTCTTTCTGTGTTTATTATGAGCCATCTGGATATTTGTCTTCCTTATACTAAAAAAGCATTTACCAGTGTAAAGATAGTGAGACCTGGGCGAATGAAGCCAATAAATGATGTAGACTAAAATCACCTGCAATAGCCCACTTTATTCAGAGCATCACACAATTTCTACTCTGAGGGGTGAAAAGAGTCACATGAGCAAAGTGTACAATCACAAGGGCAAGCTGCATATGGCAGACAAACCACACATATCAAAAACATATTTTTCCAGAGGTAATAAATAGTCAGTTGTAATGAATAATATGAAGTAAACTCACTCTTATTCATTATACTTGGAAGTAACATGAAAATACATTATAAGAACAATCTTTGAGTTTTTGTTTTGTTTTTTAAGAAACTGAGGTCACAAGACTCTTGTCTTTTTTTTTTTCTTGGAATTTTATCATAAGCACTCAAAATTCCCCCCATAAGACCAAATTCCTGGACTATGTTCCAACCACAAAACACATAAAGCTGGGTCGTCATGTCTTGGGTTTCAAAATCTTATTTTAAAGTCCCCTTGACTGAATGCTTCCTTATTCCTTTAATAGGTATGTGCAAACCTCATTCCACTTCAACTTGTGTGTGTAGTTCCTTCTCTCTATTTTGTTAAAGACAATGGTACTGGGACCAAGGGTCCAGTGAAAAACTAAGTCATATTTATATCAGTTGTTATAGGAATATATTTTCAAGGGCAAACTTGTATTTTCTAGAGCTTCATTTTGTGAACATTGTTGTCATTCCTAGTGTTATGTTTTGACTTAGCCTGGAGGAACAGGCTTTGCAGGATCAGATTAGTTCATTATTTCTTTTTCAGAGGTATGTCAGTGGGATTAGGTTTCAGATTTCAAAAGTTCGAGTTGTTTGAAGGACAAATGGAGAGGAATGGAAGACCTTGCATACATGTACCTGTGTTTCTTTTTATTGACACTCTGAACTTTTGTTTCTTGGTTCTAGGAAGTCATCTCCTATTATTCCCAATATTCTTTAGATGAAAAGATGCGCAGCCACATGGCCCTGGACTGGATCATGAAGGAGCGTGAATCACCAGGAATTCTCTCTCAAGAGCTACGTGAAGCCCTGGGGCAGCTGGAGGAAGCCAGGAAGGCAGGACAAGAACTACGATTTTACAAAGAAAAAAAAGAAATCTTGAGCTTGGCTCTGACTCAAATCTATGACCCTGACCCTTCCTCACCCAGTGATGACCAGCTGAGCCTCACAGCTCTGTGTGGCTATCATTAGCAAGGGCAGGTCTCAGGTTTCCTGAGGACTTTCATATCAGGAATCTCCTTGACAGAGGTTGTCAGAGACATTAGCATGATAGTCACTACCTGAAGGCTGTACTTCCTCCTACATTTTTCGTTCACAGAACAGGAGGGTAGGATTGACTGGTGCAGACTCCAGCTTCCTACTTCATGTATGTCTTTAGTGGTTCTACTTCAGAATGAAAGAATGACAACAAAACTGCTTATTATGCAGGATTGACCCAATCTAAAGCCTAGTTGACATGTGCCTTTGCTAAATTTTGTTTCAGACAATGAGCCAGTACAGCAGCCTCCAGGAAAACAACAGCCAGGACTAAGGAAAGCAGCATGCTAACACCTTTTTTCTTCTTCTTCTTCTGTTTTTTAATGACAAGGTTTCTCTGTGTAGTCCTGGCTGTCCTGAAACTTGCTCTGTAGACCAGTCTGGCCTTGAATTTAGAGATCTGCCTATCTTTGCTTTCTGAGTGCTGGGATTAAAGACATGTGCCATTACTTCCTGGCTGATAACAATTTTTTAAATGCTTAAGATTAAATAAATAGTCCAGATTATTTTTTAAAAATATATACAACAGGCAGCAAGTTCTCGACCCCTCCTGAAAATTAACTGTATTCTCATCATATATTTTGAAATTAGCTTTTTAACAAAAATTATCACATATCATATTTCTCAGACAAGAGGAAATTAAGCCACATAACTGCCCTATTCCAATATCATAAAAGGTAATTATGTGTGTTAGATGGATCTCATTTTAAAATGTTATTTTAACAAAAATCACATTACTTGCTGTGGTGAGGCTAAATGTCATCTAGAAGAAAACTTTAGATGTTTGTAATCCTGAAAAGGAATTAGGATTTTTTTGTTTGTTGAATAAATTTTTAAGCGAAAAAACTTCTCTTTAATTTTTTTTCCACAATATCTTTATCATTTCAAATCTAGTACATTTCTATACGTTGGCTGTGATCTATATATGCAATACCTTTACTGTATTTACAACCTTTGGCAATGTCCACCTCAGACACATGATAACTGATTAGATACAAGAACAGGTTCAACATCAAACTCACCTTCTATTTTTTAATTATGACACTGTACAGAATCTGTGAAGTGAAAGTTATGAAAACTGCCCTGTTTCTTGGAATATTCCCAGAAGCTTCAGCAAAAGTAACAAAGGTCATAGCCATGGCCGGCCCTATCTAATAGCAAATTAACTTCAGCCATGACAGTGTGCCAACCTGGCAGCGCACACGTCTGTAACACTGGTGTAGAAAAGCATATGTGAAGAACAAAATGAACTGTGCCTCATGCCTTGTTCTTAATACTTCTCTAGAGTGACTAGAGGAAGGGACGAGAGTGAGGGATAAGAGTGAGGGAGTCTCTAAGAACATGGAGCCCCAAAGCTGGTTGTTGTTGTTATGGACTCCTTGAAAATCAGGGGGAAAAAAAAAAACACAGACTAACTCATAGAAAAGTATAACAATTTCAGAATATATATGGATCCCACTCTAAAATTTATAGATTGTCCCAGAGCATCATTGGCCCTTAGTTTGGAGCTCATAACTTTTAAAAGCATGCATATAATTCTTATAATTCACATCTTAGATCTAACCTATAGACTTTTTTTGTTTGTTTGTTTTTTGAGACAGGGTTTCTCTGTAGCCTTGGCCGTCCTAGACTCTCTTTGTAGACCAGGCTGGCCTGGAACTCACAGAGATCTGCCTGCCTCTGCCTCCCAGAGTGTTAGGATTACAGGCATGCATCACTGCACCCGGCTCATAGACCTTATTTTTAAGATTACTATCATCATTGAAATAAAAAATTGTATTATTTAGGCAAAGATAGTTTACTTTTTACAAAATCAAAATACACCATGTTGTTATGAAAAACAAACCAAGACAAACTAGCCACTAAACTCGGGCAACTATCTCAGAATATTAGATTTAATAAAATCATTATTCTTTCAATATTCTGAACTTGGCTACCTTTTTTTTTTTTTTTTTTTTTTTTTTTTTTTTTTTTTTTTTTTTTCCTAAAGCTACAGTTCACATGTGCTTTTGCTTTTAACATCAACTACTTTTAGCAAAGGAAGAGAATCAAGTCCATTCTTCACTGGGAATCTGATCACCCCAGTCTGAAGACAAACAAATAGGTTGCTTATAACTTTGCTAATTCTTTAAGAAAAATGTTTTCAGCCAAAAAAGGTGTTGTAATTAACTACTGTCATGATGTTTTAGAGTTCTTATTTTTATTGTGCAGTGCCTTTCTTTGTAGCCAGAGCCCAAAGAAGCCAGACTATGAATGTTTTCTTTATCTTTGACTATGGTTACAGTAACCCAAATATTGTCAACCACTGTTTTTGTGGTGCTCACAGCTTTCTTTCATGCTGAAACTTGAAGGGAACAGGCTAGAGTATTGATATTGTTTTCATCTAGGGTTCCAGAGTAATAGAATTTATTTTGTCTTCTCCAGTGTTTTTGTTTATGCAATGTAAAATACATACAGAGCTTTAAAAATCTTTCAGACTGTTCCAAAGCTGATGAAATTAGACTTTTTAGGTGAATGGCCCAGACATCAGTATTATATATATTTTATCAGACAGTTTTAATGTATAGCAGAGTTGACAGCTACCACTTGTTTTCTGTAGTCATCACTGACTCAAGCATATTGCCTAACATGTAGAGCCAACTACCTCACTTGATCTTGAACCCAAACCCAAATATGGAACTTTTCTGGGCTACACAGGAGTAGAAACTTTTTCTTAGATATGTTTTCTCTGTAACTCAGAACTAAGACAGGAAAAGTGTGTACACACACACACACACACACACACACACACACACACACACACACCCCTAAGAAACAGAGAAGAGGAATATGGCAAGATGTCATGGCAAAATACAACCCCAAAAGACACGCTTTCAGTGACCTACTCCAACCAGTGTCCATATCCTATGAACTCCCATCATATTATGAATACACCAAGGCACTCATCCATTAAATAGGTCAGAGCTCTAGAGCTCCAATTGCCTAATTATCCCTGGAAATGCTATCATAGACAAATCCAATCTCTGAGGTGTTTCTCAAAATAATCAAACAATTCATCCCATTCAGAGTGTGTCTTAGGGTATGTGTGGACTCTTCTCAAATATTGTATGTGAACCATCTACATAAAAATCACCTGAGATCCTTCTTTTAACAATAAGCTCCTGTGCATTATTGCAGAAATGCTGAGAAAATTTTAGGAGGGTACTAGGTTATTTCCCCCTTCCTTTCATGCTTCTGACCATACTCCAGTCTTTGATACGACAGCCTGAAATTACTTAATACATCCTTCACTGAGCAGTATAGCCCTAGCCTCTTAGGTAAAGGTATACAGAAGAAAATCCTTCTGGAAGGTAGAAAGAAGCAGAGGAGGCAGAGAGATATGATTTTTCTCTCGAAAGAGCACCTTGGCATCAATGTTTGGTATTAATTTTTACCACCTTACTAGGAAACAAACCATTACAACCTCCATTTGTTAATTTATGGTAAATCCCACTTTTTTCAATCTAAGTAAACCTTGGTCACATTTTTGTCTGAGAGAAAGCTGGTGGCAAAGTGAGCCACCAGAACTTTGATAGCTGTTGACTTCTAATGAACACTGGTACCCAGTGGGAAATGCCAGACTGGGATTTACAAGCAGGCTCTAACTTCAGCATGAATTGTGTTCCGTAAGTTCATTTGTAAATAAAGTAATTCGACTCTGAGGGTAATGTGGAGGGAGGTGTTTAAGAGCAAGATCAGAATTGGTTGCAAGTTCCCCAGACAAGACTCCTTAGCTATAGAATACCTAAAAGTTGATCCTAATGAAACCTAATATAATCCTGATAAGCTGAGCAGTTGGGGTTTAGCTCAGTGGTGGAGCACTTGCCTAGCACGTTCAAGGGCCATGATTTGGTCTCCAGATCCAAAAGGTAGAAGAAGGAACAGCAGTAGGCATAGGGCCTCATACTAAAACACCTGCCTGGGGTAATTTCCCATTTCCAGATTGGTTGTCTTTTTCCCCCCATTCACTCCATTCCCTCCCTCCCCTCATTTCATCATGGTTTCTTCTACCAATTTTCTGAAAACAAAACAAACAAAAAAAGATGGCTTTTTCCATCAGAAAGACAAACCAGAATTTGACATCTCTCATTACATGGGCTTTCACAGATAGGCACACACATATGTCTTATTGCTCATGTCTCAGGATCTGCTTTCTTAGGTTCTGGGTCCATTCGCACAATGGTTCTTTCCTGATGCAACAAGATGGTAGCCATCTGAGTGAGTCACCCCATTCAGTTCCAGCCCAAGAACCAAGTATCATCACGGTGCTTTTGTCATGAGTCTGCTTTTGAATTCATCAGCTCTCTGTGGGAAAGAATTATGTTTCTTGTTTGTCTCTCTAGAATCAGTGGTCAAGTAAAGCCCATCTAAATAATTTAGCCATAGTGAAAAAAGAGGAGGGCAAAATATGGGTTCAGTTACCACAGGGAAAATGGCAACTTCCCAAGACATTTAAAAACTATTTCCTTCTCAAGGACCTTCAAAAGACAGCATAAGCTATAGAAGAAAACAATAGAGGAAATGCAGAAGATTTCTCTTCAACCAGAAATCGAGGAAAAGAGCTTTGGATAGACAAAAGCAACAGATGTATACTATAAATACATTGTATCATTTCCAAAATCGAATCCTTCCTCCAAGGACAAACGGCCACTATTAAAGATGGTCAGAAGAATATTCTCAGCAGAGGGGAAATCTAAAAGTGCTTCCAGACCAAGGACATAGGAACACACAGACAGATATCCTAAGGACTCCTGAAGGGGACATTGCTCATTTACATGTAAGAGTTCTGTTGCCCACAGGAACCTAATCATTCATATTACTCTGTAGTCACACTTCATATGCCTTCAGAACTGGCGAACTGGTGCTATGCAAGTGAGTCAGCAATTTTTCTCTGGCCTGTTTCTGCTGGACTCTGGCTTTCATCATCAGTGGCTGTTAATGTTCCTAAGTAAAGGGAGAACTAGTTATCCCAACAAGTGCAAACAGTTGGAACAAAGCTGCATAGTTCAATAGCTCAGACTCTT